TTTTCTAATAAAAAATTGTAATTCATTATTTAGTTTATTAATTAAATTAACAAAATGTTTTATAATAATCATTTTATTGCTATAAATTTAAAAATAACATATTTAAATAAAAATTAAATTATTGAAATAAATTAAATATAAACTAATAAAATTAAAATAGTTTAAATGCAACAAAAAGGCTTTTTTCGGCAAAATTGCCATCATCAGTGTTATAATTTGAAATACAATTAAAAATATTGTTGACAATAATAACCAAAAACTAAAAATAAAATTAAGTTTTAACAGATAAAATTTAGAAGTATTATTTATATATTTTAAATAAGTTAAAATAGATTTTAATTTTAAGCCTATATACATCGACATTTTCCGACATTGCAGAGCCTTTGGCTCCTTTAAAAAAGGTCGCTGGTGGTAAAAAGAAATCTGCTCCGTTGTTTGATGACAGTTGTTTTCATGAAAGACGTTGTGCAAAGCGATGAGAGAATTTTCAGACGATCTCGGACTGCATCTGACATAAAGTCTTGCAGAAAACAATTAACCTAACTCCATGATCTTTATTTAAGATATGAAAATGCGATCATTCTGGATGAGTAAGGTTGCCAATAGTAGACGTAACCAAAAAAATTTATGAAATTCGTTGAATCGTCGCTGCTGAAGAAAAATGGTCTGGATAAAAACGAAAGCAATAATAATAGACCTGTTTCTAATTTACATTTTGTTTCAAAGGTCTTTGAACGTCTACTGCTGACTCGTTTGCAGAGTCATTTATCCACCCATGGACTCTTGCCGTCGGTTTAGTCGGCTTACAGATCAGGTTCATCTACGGTAACTGCTCTCTTAAAGGTATTTGGTGATATAGTAAAGCAAGTTTTTGGATCTCAGTTCTGCATTTGACACGGTTGATCATGTGGTGCTTTTAAAAAGATTATCGGTCTCGTTTTTTATCGGTGGTGTGGTGCTTGATTGGAGGGCTTCATATTTGACGGGTCGAGCACAAAAAGTATGTTTTGGTGGATTGGTGTCTGATACTAATACCCCTACTATAACTACCTTTGCTGATACTAAAACTTCTAATAATAGTCATAATAATGATAATAACACCTAAGTTCATCCCTTAAAGACATCATTGTTTATTACAGAAACGTAATGTCGACTTCATATAAAATTGATAAACAAATTATAAGAAAAATAATTAAAAATAATGTAAAAGTAGTACATAGTAACATTAATTTCAAATTAAGAATATATTACATGAACCATACAACTTCCAATTTAATTTTTAAAAAAATAATTGCAGCGTTAAAACTGAGCAACAGACGAGTTGTAGCCATCCGATATATGCATCTAATTGTAGATTTGGTAAGTGTAGACACCGTAATACCCAATATAAATCGGAATGACTACAACTACTCTGGAACGCAAATTAACAATGCACAAACTAAATGGTGCTATAAAAAACACTTAAAAGATAATCATAATATAATGCTAAATAGAAACTATTTAGATAATAATACTAAAATTGTATACCGTAATAATAAATTTTTTGAATTTTTAAAAACAGTCGAATCATTATTTATAGACAACTTTAAACCAATAATTAATATTCAACAAAAACAAGTAAATATTATCCCTACTAAAAAAATTTTAATTTTTTTTTCCAGAATTTTATTCGAAAAGAAACAGGAAATCATATATACGAAAGCATGTGCTGACCACCATAACTAGTTGTGCAACAATATGAGATACAAATATAAACATTTTTAGTATATCGATAAATATATATACACCCAATAATTCCATTTTTATAACTTAAAGTAAGTAATATTCAATCAGATGTAAAACAATTAAATAAAACACGACAAAATTAAACAAAGAAAGCATCATACCTACATAGATCTGCATAATTAATTATAACTATAATAATTATATTATTGATAATAATTACTACTGTTATTACTACTGCTAATACCACTCTTACCAGCAATACTAGTACTTCTTCTACTACTGCTACTACTAATAATAAATATAATGATAATAATTGTAGTGATTGTTATGGTGATATTTCCATGAAAGCAAATAACAATTGGCGCAAGAATATTCTAACACTTTAGGTTCGAGTGATTGACAAAAGTTAATAAATAAAATATGATGCAAACGCTTCTAGGATAAGTGATTTACTCCAATTCCCATGATTTTATTTTTGTTGGACATGAAGATAATTGACAAGATATGAATTTATAGAGGACAGAACCAAACATTACAAATTGGGACACAAAGCTTGCTCCTTTTTAACGATTCAATTTTAAGTCTACAGTCGACGGTTAATTTGAATTAACATTACACAGATTCTATCTCTGCGTTCGGCTTCTTAGCTGAGATCTGTAGACCTGTTTTTAATAGAGGTTGCTTGAATGATTTTTATCGCCAGACCTCACTGGACTAGTACAAGCACTGTCTGCTCTTTTTCATTACAGCCGTTACTTGCTGTCGGAAATACCGACGTGACTCTTTTGTCTATTTTCTTTTATTTTTAACCTCAGCGTTTCCAGTTCACCAGTAAATTGCTTATCCAGTTTAATAACTTCCTGGTCAAATTTTGCTTTTAATTTTGATGACATCTTTTCAATTTGTTTTTTATATCTGCTGATGTTTTTGGTTCTTTTGTTTCGGCTATCTCTTAATCTATTTTTGCGGCCTGTGTTTTGATCTTCAAAGTGATCATTCATTTGCGTTCACATTTGCAGGTACAGTTCTTATGCTTGATTTAATGTCCTGGTTGTTATCTTTTTACACGAAATCGTCGAGATTTTCTTCATCTTGTATAAAGCGGTCTTTTAGGCAATTTTGCATGACCTTCCTTTCTCCTCTATTACAGTCAAACCACTTTTTCACAGTTTTTTCAAATTGCTTTGCGTCGAGTTTATTCAATTTTGGCATTCTTTATTTTCTTTATCGAGTAATTGTCCTTTAAAAATAGCAATTCTGGCACCAATGTTGTTTTTTCTAAATAACAATTACTAGGTTCGTAAAATTCTTAATAAACAAACTACTCGGTATTTAAATTTTGTTGACGGCTTGATTCTGAAATGCCTAAACAACAATCATAATTCTTATGATGGTTTGATGTCGAAAAAAACATTTGATTTCCATTATTTTCAAGTAAAAAATTCAATTACGATATTTTCAAAATAAAAGTAAGTTGCATCATTCATAACCTTTTATTGATACGATTTCAAAATAAAATGTTAATCTTTCTCGTGCCATATCCTTTCAGGACATTAGCGACCATCGACCTCCACAAAACCCGATCTTTTTAACACTTTGTAGCAGTTAAAATGTAGTGATATCCAACAAGTGACACAAGGACTTCACGAATGTAATTAGTAATTGACCGCGATCTCTTCTCCCTGCAGTCTTTCCAGTAGTTGTTATATTTTCCATTCCTTTCTTCGTTTCGCATGATGTGACCATAAACGTTAACTGCCCCCATCGTATTATTTGTAGTAATTTCCTCTTTTCATAACCGAACTGTTTTAATACATCGTCATTGAAAGTATGAGAGGTCTAACTAATTTTTATAATTCTTCTCAAAAACCAAATCACAGCATCATTAATCCTTTATTCCATTTTTTTTAAAAACTTTCTAGGACTCAGAGCGTATATGAGCACAGAAAAAATTTAACACGCTAACAGTTTTAATTTTGTTGATATTCTAATTTTACTGTTGGTGAGGATGTTTTTCATTTAAAATATGCATCTTTAGCCACAGCTATCCTTCGTTTGATAACCATGTCATATTTACAACCTGAGGTAATAAGATTTCCGAGATAATTGAAACCATTGACTTGTTTCACCTATTTACCAATAATGATTATGGAGCAGATCAGGGCGGTTTTGCTATTACTATTAACCATGCATTCTGTTTTGTTGATGTTAATTTGCAAGTATTTCCTTTCACATTCAAAAACCAGTTTGGAAACAGTTGTTTGCAGTTTTTCCATTGATCCTGCAATAAGAGCTGTATCATCAGCATATCCTACATTGTTTACATTCACGCCTCCAATGGATATTCCAAGTAGATCTTCTAATACATAGACTAGCTTTATTTCAACAAAACTAATCATCTTGTTACCATCTTTCATCGCTGCTCTTTGGTCCCAATAGGAGTTTTTGATAATTCTCGTGTCTTTTCCAGCAATGTCCAAATTTTCCTTTATTTCCATAAAAAGCTTTGGAGTAATCGACAAAACATATAAACAAGTCTTTCTTCATTTCAATCGCTCGTTCACTGATCATTCGTAGCATAAAAATAGCGTTTCTTGTCCCACAATCCTCGATAAAACCACATTGAACATTTGAAATTTCAGATCTGATTTTGCTTCATGCTCTCCGCTCTTATCTTTAGAATTCTCAAGAGAAGTTTTATAAGATGACTCATCAATCTGATTGTTCAATGTAGTTCACATTCCGTTGCATTAGGTTTTTTAGGCAACGCAATAAACATCGACTTGGATAGATCTTCAGGAATTTCGCCACTGTTATATATCTCAAGCGCAAGTTGTGACAGTGAAAAATTAATTGTTTCAAATGTTCGGACATGAGTCGATTTTGTCGTTCATTTATGATATGACCAGATTTTGAGAAAATCTACTTGCTAGGCACAAATGTAGCAACAATTGCCATAACTTCCGAGTCACTTCAACGACAATAAATATTTAATGTAGAATTTGTACACGTCACTATAGCAACAAAGTTTTGGATTCGATTAAAAATAATGGCAGACTATTTTTTATAAACGCTTTTAACTAACCTTTTTTTTACATTAAAAAGAGTTGATTTCAATTGTGGGTAACATTAAAATAAAAAACCTACTGCGCCAAAAAATTGCTAAAAGGCCGAAATCGAATTGTTGCAAATTGAAATCTAACCTATGCACTTCTTTATATTTTATTTAACCTATGTGAGATATAAACAATTAACATGTAGTCCTGCTTGGCAAACAAAGAACACGTTGCATAATTTCTGAATGAATGTATCAACTCAAATATCTAAAAACAAAGAAGCGAACATATCACGCTAATGAATACTAAGATGTTTTTATAGTTTTGAACAAAAAAGCAGCTTATTTTACAGTTTGAGCCAACTAGCCAAATAATTTTCATAAAGTTAGTTTAAACAATTTTATGTGTATTTTACGTACTTTCTGAATATAATTTAGAAATCAATAACAAATAAAAAAATTTAACATATAAGCTACTAACTTTTATATTTTTAGCAACAGGGTACTTCAAAGTAATGCTGAGTGTGCTGTTATAACATGATAATGTGTGAGTTTGATGATAAACAATCAGATGAACAACTGAAGTAAATTTCAATGGTGGAGCAAATCCATACAATCCATCCTATAAAATTAATTTTCAAAATCCAGATACGTTATCCAATGAAATTTATTTTAAAAAATCTGTCAAACATCTAAAACATATTTTTGGGTATTTATAACAATTTTTGACAAAAAAGAATGAGGTAAAACGGAAAAAATAAAAAAAAGTTCGTTTATGAAAACAAGAAGCCAACAGCGCTGTTTCGGTGTATGGACCATTTTCAAACTTAAATTAAAATATGTAATATATATATTATAGAAGCAATCAAATACAGGCCCAAGCACACCGCCATCGTAATACTTAGCGCAAACCGGTTCTATCAAAAAATTGCTCATCGCTGCCAAACGCCTTCGCGCAAATCCTGTTAGTTATAAGAAAGTCTGACAAATCCAATGTATATGTGTTGATGAACAAAAAATTATTGCAAACAAATAGGCAACACTTTATCCGACAAACCAAATTCAAACGTATCAACAAAGATCCAAATACGTAAATCAAAGCCGAAACAACGCTGTTAGCCGACACATATTTCAAATAAATACAATTTAAAACAAACACTTTATTGAGTGCATTATAAAAAAAGTTACTGAATGCCAAATGGGCAAAAATCCTCAACGAAAATTGTATTAACAAAAACGTCATCCCAAAATATTATATATATAGATATATATGTGTGTGTATGTATGTGTGTTGAGCTTATTAATCTGTTGATCCATTACTATTTGTTCTCATTAATACATATATATATATATTTCGGTGTGGAGGCCATCTTCAGACTTAAAATATGTAATATATTATGGAATATTAATGTATATATATATATATATATATATATATATATATATATATATATATATATAATAGTATTTTATTACCCTTGGTCCAATTGATTAACATGTCATTTAACAAAGGTGTTTTTCCTAATTGCCTTAAATTTTCTAAAATTTTACCTTTATTTAAATCTGGAGACCGGCATTCTATAACAAATTATCGACCAATTTCTGTGCTTTCTAGTTTATCAAAGTTAATTGAAAAAATTGTTCTTAACCGTCTTAATAAATTTTTTTATTTCCGTGATGTAATTTGTTTAAATCAGTATGGTTTTAGGGATAAATTACCGACTGAATTTGCAATAATTGATGTTGTGAATTTTATCTCTCTTGCTCTCGAATCTAAAAAATATTCAATTGGCGTTTTTATTGACCTGTGCAAGGCTTTTGATTCTTTAGATCATAAGATTTTGCTATATAAATTGTTTTCTTATGGAATTCGTGGTCTGCCTTATGATTGGTTTTGTTCTTATTTACACGACCGTTCCCAATATGTGTCTATTAATGATTCTAAGTCCTCATTATCGCCAATTAATTCCGGTGTTCCTCAAGGTTCAATCCTTGGTCCATTGCTCTTTAATATCTTTATTATTGACTTTATCAACTCATCAAGTATTTTAAAATTTATTCTGTTTGCTGATGATACTACTCTATTATACTCTCATTCTGACCTCAATTTTTTAGTCTCCGTTATTAATAATGAATTGAAGCTTATTTATAATTGGGTTGTTTCTAATAACCTGCGTATTAACCTGGATAAAACATGTTTTGTTTTGTTTGGTCCAAAGATTAGAACCGATATTGTTTTCCCTATTGTTTTGCTCAATGAACAAACAGTAAAGAGAGTAGACTCTACCAAATTTTTAGGTGTTATCATTTCTTCTAATTTATCATGGTTAGCTCATATTAAGCACATTTCATGCAAATTATCTAAGAATTTAGGGCTTATTTATCGCCTTAGATTTAAATTTCCTAAGTTTATCCTGCTAACCTTATATAACTCTTTCGTTCTGCCATATTTGACATATTGCATCTCCGTCTGGGATTCTGCCCCTAAATCTATTCTTCATATTTTAACCTTGGCTCAAAATTTCTTCATTCGTATTCTATTTGATTTGTATAAATTTGATCATGTAACCCCCTATTATCATTTATCAAACATCTGCAACATAAATCACTTATATGTCAAACATCTGTTAATTTCCTTTTTTAAAATATACAAATTATATTATTGTCTACCATTATACAATGAACTTATTTTGTTCAAAAACACTGGACGTGAATGTTTACGTTATACTCCCGATTTTCGTTCTTTTAAACCTCGAACAAACTTTTTTCTCAATTCTACCCTATCTTCTTCAATGCGCTTCTGGGATACTCTACCTGTCAATATAAAGGCTTCTCCTTCACTCAGTCTTTTCAAAACCTCGATTTGTCAGCTCATCTCATCTAATCATTTCGTTGTTAGTTGATTGTTTGTTATCTTTACTTAACAAATATATCATCTTATATTATTATTTTCTATTTTTGTGGCTTAACGTACTCATGTAATAGAGATAACTATTTTTGCTTATTTAACTACTTTTCTAAAACCCTCAGTTCATTTAATTTTAATGAAATATTCTATTGATTTTTTGTTTGCAACTGTTCATTTTCAAATATTTTTGTTTATCACTACATCTTATCTATAGAGACACAATTTTAGTTAAGGTGGTCAGCACATACGTTGGTATCTTGATCTCCTGTGCTTTTTTGCCAAATAAAATTCATTTCAATTCAATTCAATTCAATAATCACAGCATGTTCGGCGTTAGTTAACTTCCAATATAACTTTCCGATTCAACATGCTATGATTTTCATCAATAATTGCATTTTTGACAGTCCTAATAATTATGACAATGGGATAATAATGACTGGGTGATGTTATAATGATGGGTGATGAAGATTGATTTAAGGTGCCTAAGAATAAATAGGTTTTTTATATGTGAAACTTATTTAATCGCTCAGTAAAAAAAACTTCACTTAAACTCTTATATCGTCTCCGATGTCGAACGCAGATCGACAGAAAATTTCAAATGCTTTTTTTTTAAACCGAGAGTAATGCTATTGGGTTGATGTAATAGGTTGAATGGATAATGACAAACGTAATTGACAAGTGAATGCTTATAATGTATAATACAATGGCGGATTCAATATAACCGAATAAGTGTAATCTCGCTAAAGAAAAAATTGTTTATACCAGAAAAACTATTTAAAATATGTTCACAAGGAGTTACAAGATAAGACAACGGGAAGTAAACTACAATAATCGAGAAATAAAAAAACAAGGCCTCGAACCAGAACAAAGGCAATATCAAATAAGAAAAAGTGCCAAATGTAACAAATGGTCCAGACGTTGAAAATGTCAAATTTTATGATAGCTAAAAGAAGTAATTAGCCTTTTTAAATCTATTACCACGTTTCTGCAACAAGTTATTATAGAACATATTTTTATGTCGTGCATTATAAAAAATGTAAATTAGAAAAAAACTTTAAATAAAAAAGTTCAATAAAATACTTTACCAGTTATAACAAATGCTAACACCAATTGGGAAAAATAATAAAATGTTTGAACAGATGAAAAAAATGATTTGAAGAAAATGTCAGAAAGGAATTCATTTATATTAATTTTTTATGTGTTTTGTATTTTTAAATTTTACATATGGATGAATTCTATAAACTCGTTCAAATGAGACTGCATTTAACATAAATGAAACAGACAAAAATGTTATTTTATCAAATTTGCCAAACTGTGCTAAATTAATACTAACAGAATGATAAATTTTGATGAGCTTGTTACTACCATTGCACTTCAACGTTAGAGTGTAATCAGAATTAGCTTCACCAAGTTTGTCGGTAGAATCCCTCACCAAAAATGATCCATCCTTTGCGTCTCTCAAAATTTCGTTTGCCTTCTCTCTGCATTTCAAAGTTGTGTAAATTTTATCAACACCAGACAATGCCATATAGTTATGAAAGCAAGCGCGTAATTAAAAAATAAGGTTATGAATATAATATAAAAAACCTGGTTAAAAACAGGTCAAATTAAGGTAAACAAACTTAAAGAAACCCGTCTAAAATTTTTTCGAAACTATACCAAGAACCCCAGCGGACGTAAAATATGGTGTTCCACCGGAGACTTCCCAAACAATCACAATATACGTCGAGGAACTTCGCCAACGATTGGACAACAACCACCTGAACGTGCAAATCAAAAAAAGAGAAAGCACGAAAAAGACCAAAACTCGATATGACATATGAAGCGGTAGCTGAGGATTTAACGAAAATAACCTAATCTAGCTGTCCACGGCGCAGAAAAGGGCGAAGCCCGAAACTCCAAAAAGTTGGGAAGGTCCGTGCAAGCTTGCTAACTAGATAAACGAAGCGGTCTACAGGATCCAATCTCAAGAAAAACGGCAGGCATAAACGAATGTTGTCCATTTCAATAGGCTAGCCTTATATTCATCAAAATAAAAAACAACGCCAATGTCAAGTACTAACAGGCTGAGGTGAGGCAATGTTATTATATAGGCTGCGATTTGTCAACTTTTTATTTGTCGTCGAATGACTGTTGTTTTTATTTAGTAGTCTAT